TACGGACCAGATTGGATGGTAGATTGGGACTCCAATTCCTGAGTCCGTTTAGCAAACGAAGCGGTAGAAGCTATAAACCAATTGGGGGAAATTGAATTAAAGGACTGCGAGCGTTGCGTTGCCGTGTATTAATGAACTTTCTGAATAGCTTCGGCATCGTAATCGATTTTAGCAGACGGTTATGTTGGTTTGGCGATAGGGCGACGGAGAAACATGCGTCCGCGGACTCAGAACCTTTACGAGAAACGTAATATCATCCGCGAATGAGAAAACCGGATTAACAAAACCAGCGAAGCATGTAATTGACGTCGCGCTGATTCGGCAACGATGTTATCGCCAAAATCCAGACGACAATATACAAGGAAGTCAATCGTATGTTTCAAGGAATAATCGAGCCTTCATATAATAGGCGAATCCGATAGTACGAAAATCGAGTGGCAGATATCAGTTTTGCTTCGATTGCAGGAAAGTTAACGTCGTTTCGCGGAAGAATGCGTATCCGCTTGCGAACATAGCAGGCATCCTCAATAAATTGCGAGCCGCCCGATATATTTCAACTATCGATCTTAGTCAAGCCTACCACCAGATAGCACTCGCGGAAAATAATAAAGAAATTTTTTAGTCCCCGAGATGGGACATTCCGGATGCCGTTCCACACAACGGTTGTCAGATAGATTAATTAAAACCGTTTGTCGTCTCGATGACATTGTCGTGGCGACGCCGACGTTCAAAGCCCATTGGAGTGGCTCGGAAGACTGTTGTGAAAGATCACGGGGAAAGACTACTCCGAGTAGACCCAGGAACTACCAGCAGGATGCGTCTACGCCGTGACCGTTCTCGAACCTCGGGTCGAGGACATCGAGCCATAAGAAAGGAGAAATGGCGCCGAGAGTAGTAAGATCGCCAGGCGGTCGAGGCCGCCCAACGAAGGGTGAAACAATTGGATAAGGAGCGACAGCGACATTAGCGATAATCCACACCGAGTGGAAATAGGAGAAATGCTGGAACTGCCGCCAAAGCAGATACCGGTGTTCCAGCTGTCCCGTTATTCGCAGCACGTTCTATTACCACTGCGGAAACTTTAGGGGTTCGATAGAGCGGTGCTCTCGCTGCCGCGAGAGCAGCTACCGCTCAGTAGCCGCGGCAAACCGTAAAAGGATCGTAAATAGGGGAGGTCAGGATCTCTCCTACACAACATAGCCCAATGAAGTGGCAACAAAATTACTAGAAACCTATAACATACTAAACTTATATTTATATATTTTTTTTTCTTTAATCGTTTAGTGAAGGAATCCCCTCTTTGTCCGAGCATTAGGATAAAAACGATCGCAGGAAAGCGTTAGGTTAGGAGAGATAGATTTCAACCGTTAGAGTAATATTGTTAGAATAAGCCTCAGTGGCAAAATAACAATCCTCAGGATAAGAGCATCTTCGAGCAAGAAGCGAAGAACTTTATAGTAAGAACCTTAGAGTTAGAAGTTAGATTAAACCAATCAGCTCCTGCGTTAGTAAGCATTAGCATAAGAAATGCTAGTAGATACGTAGTAAGAAACGTTAAATTAAGATAGGCATTAAAATAAGAAACTTAGGGTAAGCAACGTTAGATTAAAAGCGTTAGATTGTGAGAGACAAATTCCAAGTATGGGGGTTAAGGTTTAAAGCATAATAAGTACCGGGCAATAACGCATACATAGCGACAGATAGCAAAAGAATAGGGAGCATGCGATTACTACTAAAATCGAGGTGGCTACGCTACGCGGCCGAGAGGGCACAGTATGACTCGTGGTGACAGCCATCTCGATCGTCACGAACGGGCAACGATCCCGAACGCCGCACTTGACCGTCGGAAGCGTAAGAAGAGCCATCAGGAGGGACAGCCAGAAGAAGAAGGATCACAGTTAGCAGTCATCGTTAATCCTCCTGCGAAATTACATACAGAGAGTCGCACACAGTCGCGAGCAGTAGTCGCCCAGGGATGCTGTAGAATCTTTCGAGGAGGACCGGAGCGCAGCCGTCGACGCACGCCCGGCGAGACCGTCCGCGTGAACCATCCCAAGGGAACACCGACCAAGGATCGCAGGAAAACCGCCGGAGGACACCGACACGCCAACCCGAACCCGCAGATGACCAGACGAGGCGGTCGAGACTCATGGCACAGGAACCTGGACTGCACTCTTTAGACAGTCGGTCCCAGAAGAGCAGATTCCGCCTGCGAGGAAGGAGTAAGCCCGACTGCGCGACGCCGCATAAAGCGAACTGACATACCGTATCACTGATCAGCGATAACGAGCGTATGCGAGCACGGAAATTGTATCGAGAATGTGGTTGCGGCAGAAGCATTGTAGACAAGACGAAACGAAGTCGGACGCGAACCGATGTGTATCATTTATCAGTTGGACTATTAAACTGTGTGCGTAACTATAGAAAACTATAATGAGTGTATTATTTCCAAGCGTCTGAGACGCGACCTCTTCTTGTGATATCGAGTGAGGCCAAGTTCTATATAATATACTAATAGTAACTGAGAAATGATACGTATCGGTTCACGTCCGACTTCGTTTCGTCTTGTCTACAATGCCTCTGCCGTCCACGTTCTCGGTACAATTTCACAAGTAATTTACGCCAAAAAATCTTATGGAAATGATAGCTCTAGTAACCCAAACTTTCAAAATACATGTTTATTTTATCAGAAAAATGAATACTTACAAAAAATCTTTTTTAGAATTTGACTTATGACCAACGAAACTCGTACTCGTGGTCATTTGCCGCCAACTTGAAAGCTCAGCAAATAAGTAGGAACTAACCGAGCGCTTTTGCCCTCCTCACTATAAACTTTTTACTCACCGGGGATCCACCGGTCGGAGTGCGCAGGCTTCTGGGAAATCTCGCGTAGTTGAAATCGCTCGGCCACATTTGACCCATGAGTACGGTTTCAGGATCGACTATACTCATCACGAATTTCAGAAAAACTCATCATCATGTACTCGGTGGACGAATCTTATTTTTATGCAAGAATATTATAAAGCTTCATTGAAGAAAAAGTTGGTTCCACTCTATCTAATAAATCAACTAAATTTTTATTTTAATTACATATTCTCGATTAAAATGCTAAACTTATTAGGATTCAATGTATTCTGAATAAATTTGATGTTTATGACCAATTCACGGTAGATTTGCAGCTACATAAACTTATAAAATAAAATACTTGAAACAAGTAACATTTACTTAATTGCAGTATCTATATTTTTATATACTGCAGGAATGTATAGATTGCTAATAAGGTCTATTTTGCTAAAGAATATTATGAAAAGTAGGGTCAAGCGCCGCTTGACAGACGATCCGCTTGATTTTGGAGCATTCGATAATAATAATTTTTTGCATACGATTAAAACACATGTCGAGTCGACTCCAAAAAAATATATAACTCTAATCTAACCCTCTTACCGTTCTGTGTTGATGGTTTCCGCGATTCCGACCTATTATGTGTGCTGTCTGACAAACAATTATCGCCAAACACCGCGAAATTAATTAAAATATTAATAACAATCAATATTAAGTATAGCAATCTTTGGTAATCTTCTGAAATATATATAAAAATCATATATAAAATTAGAGTTGTATATTTTTTTAGAATCGACTCGACATGAGTTTTAATTTGACATGAGTATGCAAAAAAATTGTCATTATCAAGGGCCCAAAATCAGACAAAACTTGGTCGCCTTCTTTGGCTAGAAACAAAGCAAATTCGGCTAAAAACATGGCTAATTTTTTAACAACACAATTCAATTTCTAAGATATAAATAGGATTGAAGAGGTGTATAAAACAAAAGGATAGTCAATTATTGCAGAATGTAATATTTTTTACTATGAAATTCTCTTTGTTCACAAATATATTCCCGTAATATACATACGGATCTATTTGTCACGATTCTATCAGCACTTTTACTCAACCAGACTTTGCGGTGCTGTTTAAAAATGAATTCGCTTGGAAATGGCATTGTTCGTGAAAAGCTAAAACAGCCGCTCCAATACGCACTGATTAGTTGACGATGCCGGCGCGAATTTGGAGCACTTACGCTCGCGAACTTTCTGCTCACAAACACGTGGAATTGATCCGACACTCATTACGCGTCCGCGAGTAACAGATAATTTCATAAATATTCCGCATTGCCGCGCCGCAACGCAGCGCTGTTGATGACGCGCTCTCGCGAAATTCAGATGGATCGTGGAGGAATTTTAATATAATTACTTGCGCAACTACGAACGTTCGTATATGTAGCGTGTACGCAACGCACGTTCGTAAATCAGAGTTGTTACACAGACATAATTTCAGAACTCGCCGAATTCCCCGCGCTGACTAATAAACTCCCCTTTTCCTGCCCGAGCGAATCAAGAGTGAAACCACAAATTCGTAAGAAGAAAATACCGTGACATAAAAATATGAGAAAGGAGAAAAAGATGTAAATATTGAGAAACGCATGTGGAACAGAAATGAGAGAAAAACTGGCAATTCCCCGATTGTAATAAACTTCTCTTTCTCTTCACACGAATCAAGAAAGGAAAAGCGGCTAAATACGCTACGACAACGTGAGAGAGGTAGAGAGAGAATTCGAACTTCGTTATACAGCTCCTGTGTCGCGCTCTTCACGCGTGTATAAACGTATCTATAAACGCTGATTCGCGCGTCAACGAATACCGAGTCGAATAAACGAGTCTTTCCTCTCTCCTCCCTACTTCTCTCCTTTTCCGCGCGACTTCTTCCGGGTCGTTGCTTCCAATCTTCCCGGGCTATCCCCGCACGCTTTTCCGTTACTCGCAGCGAGCCTGCAAATGTTTCTGGAAATTCGCGCGAGGAATGAATTCACGCCCGGAGGACGCGCGGTGCACCGCCGCTCATAACTCACGATTATACGATACATTGATGAATGCGCTCGCGTTCTTCGCGTCGCGGACACGGCGCGATGACGAAGCACCCGATACTATTATTTATTCTGTTGCAGGTGCGGTGACATTTATCATCGGTTTTACGGGTTGCGTCGGCGCGCTGCGGGAGAACACGTGCCTCCTCGCCGCGGTAAGCAAGTTCAATTAAGCTCCCTCAGGGATTATTTTAATTGCTCAATCTCTCTCTCTCTCTCCCTCTCCCTCTCTCTCTCCTCGTCCCTTCCCCTCTCTCTCTCTCTCTCTCTCTCTCTCTCTCTCTCTCTCTCTCT